AATTACCTGGCGGTACAGTCACCCTACCTGTCTGAACGCAGCGCCAGCTCATCTCTCTTTAGATGCACTGCCATTAGGACTGAAAAACAAAACTCCTAAATTCAATTGGACTCATTCAGTGGCCAGCCAATAAAACATCCTTCCATTCAGAGGTATATTTGCATTTGGCTATCAGGTGAAAAGATCCACGAAACAAGATTTTTTTTTTTCTAAGACAACTCATTTAACTGATCTATTTTGAACTAGTCTTAAGCAAGTTCAAGTTTCCAAACAGCAACATATAGTGATATATTGGCTCAGTTGCTTTAGCAAATGCACCATATATGACTGCCATGATACAAGGAGCTCTCTAGGTATCTAATTTCCCCCTCTTTACCTCTTCCAGGACACTTTCTGAGAGACAAGCAAGGATGCAGGCTACGTCTTCCCTCTGTTATTTCCTCCTTGCCTCTCTGTGTATTGATTTTCTTCACGATGGGGCCAGCGCGGCCGTCAGGAGGCAGAGGAGGAGGATGCGCTCCGGGGGCGGCACACACAGGTCTGCCAGGCAGCCGAGGACGAGGCTGCCGGCGCGCGGCCCTGCCGTGCCCAGCGTACCTCTCATTAACATCGACGACGGAGTTATGGGAGTATTTGACTCGCTCGTAGGTTTGGCTGGACAAGAATCTAGTTACAGTGTCTTACCAGGTGAGAAGAACCCTCTTATCCTGCTAGTAACTCCTTATGCAATTTTTCAAATGGCAAAAAGCTTAATTTTAGCCCTACTTGCAATAGATACTAGAATAAGACTCCATTATGTTTTTACTCTACTAATTTTTGTTGCTTTTTATACTGATCCTATTCAGTGTAAAAAACATTTTTAAAGTCCATATTTAAATATTACAGAGAATTCCATCTTTCCATTCAACTATATTCTTCAAATTTTCCAATGATCATTCTATTATAACTAATAAAAATTTTGCTGGGGTAGTATTTTCATATTTTCAAATGTCTAGCCAGTTTGAAGGCCTATTTTAAGAATTGTTTCTCAGTATTGTCTCGTAGGTCAACTAGTAGCATTTCACTGAAACTCTAACATCAATAAATCTGTAACATTCAATTGCTAAATTCCTGTCATTTTTAAACACAACATAGGAACTATATTGAATAATAATTTGGAGATTTTTTTAAAAAAATAAATCAGTGTCACATGGTAGACACATGGTAGTAGCTACAATGTGAAACTTGCATTAAAAGCAAGACATAACATATGCAAGACATATGTTACCTTTCCTTAACATATGCTAGCAATGGAAAAACTAAGCTAACAGAAGCACGTTTTGTTGTTGTTGTTTGTAGATTCACACATTTATCACAGGGTCACTCTATTTTCCACCTATTTAAGAACTTGGAGTTGTTTAAAGAGGCTCAACAACATCATCTATGTAAAACTTGTCTATGCAGAGGTCTAGAGATTTTTACACCACTGTATTAAATTTTGTTTTGTTCTTTACAAAATGCAGAGGGAGAGGATTTGGTGTCATAGGAAACAAATAAAGAATATACATACTGATTATCACATACTGATCTTTACTGAAACCTGCCAGAATAATCGTAACAGGACTCTACAGTTTTCTCAAAGAATGCCAGACTAGAAAACGACTAACAGTGATTGTTGTTAAGGGTCTTTCTGGTTCTTAGAGCAATAAGGAAAAAAAGAGCTTCTGTCCTAGGACTCTTATGGTTTTGGTTCAGCTTTGCAAGTGGGAAATGAGGACTCAGGTAAGATTTTAAGACTCACAAGGTTATATAAAGCTGGCATCCATCCTTTATACAAGAAATTCTGAATATTATTCTCAATATTTTGGAATTTCAAAAACAGTAACCACTTGAAAAAACACTGATATATTGTAACACTTCAATTCTTTACATGCAAAAAAGTTAAAAGATCAAAGATATATTGGGATGTCATGAAAGACCAATACAAGGTTGTATCCACTCTAGAGATAATAGATGTTACAGTGTGGATGCTTTCATTCCAGTACTGCAAATATTACACATTAAATAAAAATATCATATGCAATTTTATGAATGTTATGAACAAACTAGAAAAGCATTACTCCTTTTCTACATGTTATAACAACTGTATTTTTGTAAGCAATAGCTTGGCTTTCTTGTGGGAATTGTAGATATAATTCCCTAGGTGAATGGGTCTCAACTGGCAAAACAAAAGTTAGTCACATTTTCTTAATAATTACTGTTTGTTTAAAGTCCTTATTTTCAGAAAGGAAGAACCAATTCAAATCAAGTATTTTTTAGTTACTGGTCTAAGTGGGTAAACTAGAAGAAACTCTTGACTATAGCATTTCTAGCATGTAATACAATAGTCTCTTGTAACATTGCTGATGTTAAGCCTTTCATTTAAAAATAATTTCTATATTAAACAGAGGAAAATACCACACAAATAGCATACACTTTATGTAAGATATTCCAGCCTCTCTGTCAGACACCATCAGTCATGCTGAAATAATGCATGGTTCCCTCCCTCCCAATTTGTTTCTTTCTATTTGGACTTGCATCCAAAAGTTGAGCTAAAACCACTGAACTCATTTTATTTGGAACCTAATGCTAGATTTACACCATATTTCCAAAGGTTAAAAGTCCTAGGCTCATCTGCCAAAGACTTTGACCACAAGGTATTTTTCAGTCTAGCTCTTAAAGTTCAAAATTTTTGTAAGTTAATGTCAGATTTGGAAAAACAGAACCTATTAAATAATTGACCACTATTATTAATCTCTCTCCTTGAGCACACACAAATAGCCATGTCCTGTCTCTTAAGTCATGTACACAGCAAGGAATACAATTTGCTACAGAAGTTTACAGAGGTCAAGTCCTGATAACCCACATCTTTATCATTCTTATCCATGATTTGCACCAAATTACATATAGTCTAGTAGCTAACTCAAAATAAAGAATTTGAGGAAAGCACAGAGACATTTCTATTTCAAGTTAAATATATTCCTCCTCTTGACATTTTATTGCTTAACATGAGAAAATGTATTTTTCCCCCTTTTGGAGATTATTTAAAAACACATATATAGCAACTGCTTGGCAAGCACATAAAAAAACAAAGCCAGGATAGTAATGCATGTCCAGCAAACAGCTGGATTATAGATACCTAGAAAGAGTGAAAAGACTCTCATAGTCAAACAGCTCATCTCCTCCTATTGAAAATATAATCTGAGTGGTTTAGAGCAGAAATTTATGCTGCTGAAATCCTACATATCATGGACTAATTTGTCTTTGAAAAAAACAATAAATGTAACTATTCAAAAAAACTTACCTTGCCATCTTAACAGTAAATTTAAAGAGCAACTTTTAAACTTCAAGTAACATACAGGAGCATCCAGACAGGATGATTCTGATTCTACTCTAGGAAACAAGCTCATGTCAAAAGGTTTTTAAGTGGAAAGGCAAATGAATACCCTCACTATGAAGGTAAAAGTAGGACACAAGATTTTGAATTAAAAATATTAATTTCACAGACATTTCAAACTGCTATTCGGTGCAAATCATTTACAGCAGTCTTGTCAGGATATTTAGAGGATACCCTGTGTAAGTATACTCTTCTACTCAAAAGCAAGCTCAGACAGAGGATGGGAAAGCTAACTGTGCACACAGTCCTTCCAAAGACAATGCCTCTATCTGAAAGGAAGGCCTCTTTGTAAATTCAGTTGAGACAAAATCTTTCCCATAGTATTAGACAATCTTTATACTGGTGGAGGAGAAACTCAAATTCTTCCTAGGAAAAGAAGAAAATCTCTGTTTATACCGAAGAAGGTAAAAAGTAACTTAAAAGTTGGGTTCTTCAGCTTGAAGCAAACACCGCATTCTTACACTACTTAGGAAGAAAAAAGGCACATGAGTAGGGATTACTGATTCTTGCTAGACTCAGGGATGTGCTCAAAAAACAGGAAAAAATATGCACCAGATAAAGAATCTCACCCTTGGCTTTCCCCCTCTCCAAGGAGAAAAAAAAAAAAAAAAAGAAAAGAAAAGGAAAAAAAAAAAAAGGTGTCAGGCTAGATTGCACCATTTACCCTGGATTGAGGAGGAAAGCTGCTTTGGGAAACATTTGCTGAGGTTGACTCTGCCACTGGAAGGAAAGAGGAACTTGGAATAGTTTTCTCCTCAAGTCTTCATGCTAGCCAAACAATTTGCCTGCTGAAAATCTCAGCATAATTTACAACATAAATCTCTTCTACATTTCTTTCATTTCAGCTGGTGCCCTGAGGAAATCTCAAAACATTTAGTCATATAAAGAACCTTTGGAGACAAAGTAGCTTTTAACACCAGCAAGTTGCACAAGCTTATTCTTTTCAAAGCAGAGTTCCTGTGTTTTTCTCTTTTTTTTTTCTCTCCATGTAAAAAGCTTTATCAGAAAAGGAAGATATTTTGGATTCCTATCAACCACTTCAGAACAGACTTTACTTAGATTAAGCCTAAGAAGAATCATCACTGACTGAGTATTAACAGATCGCACTCCCACAAAGCCTTAACAAAACTTGCTGATTTAGTGTGCAAGATATTAAAAAAGGTGTCATTTTTGCATAGACAAAAAGCAGAAGGGAGAAAAAAAATGATTCTTGAGTTCTGTATGATTCATTTTAGCCTAATTTGAAAGAAGAATTTCGCTTCTTTCTTGAAGTTATCTATATCAGCTTTTGTTGAGCTCTGACATCTGTTTGCCATATCTAAGCATGGATATGAACAGAGGAGCTGCCCTGTAGGAAACGCTCCAAAACTATCTAAATTTAGTTTTCCCAGTTATGAAAAATTCAGAATTCGAAAAACTCAAGAGTCTTTTTTCATGAAATAAGGCAAACAACAGTCTTCAGCAGTTTGGTAGGGAGAGAGGTGCAAGTAAACTATTTTGACAACTGCCCAAGACAGATGGAGCAACTGAACTTGCACTCAGTTTTCGTTATGACATTGTAGTGGGGTAACAGCTACACAGACATTAATTATGTGCTTCCCCCTTGATCAACTTCATAGCTGAAAGGCCGAGAATCAAACGGAGAACGGGCTATATTTTCAAAGCAAGAACACAAGAGTTATGCTTCCTTCTCAAAGGTCTAATAAACACCACGACTTTATTTTGGCTTAAGCTGTGTAAATCTAATTTGCAATTTCTTTTTCTCAGGAAAGCAGGGGCACTGCACAGCTAATGGGATGATCATGTACGATAAAGCTGTGTGGTCCCCCAAGCCCTGCATCACTTGCCTCTGTTCCAAAGGACAAGTGCTGTGTGATACCACCATGTGCCACCCTCTGCAGTGCCGCACCACGGTTATACCCGAAGGAGAATGCTGCCCAGTTTGCTCTGATACTGGTACAGTAGGCTGTAATATTTTTCCTATTTTAAAAACTGCCTCACACAGAACCTTATGTAAAAGCTGCAGTTAAGTAATATTAAGGATTACAAGGTAGACACTACCCCTGTATAGGGAATACAAGTCCTGAATTAGGATATAAGAGCAGTTAGATGTACTTGTTCTTCAAAATCTCAGCAAAAGTTGCCTTCAGTTTTTCCTTTCTTTTTCTTCTTTGGAGCTCTTCATTAACATGGAAAGCATGTTAATGCATTAATTAATGTATATATAATGCATACAGTGTATATAATATATATATAATGCATATAATAATAATGCAAATAATTAATGCATTAGTTAAACCAATGCATTAGTTTAAAAAGGAAGATCAGTGAAGACTATATTCTATTTTTTTTTTCTGGAGTTGCAGTGAATCCTGGCTACATAGTTGGCTCAGTCTTTCAAAGCCTGAATTTTCTACTGAGCTTTTCTACTGAGATCGTTCTTTTGTTCTTTCAAATCATATTCTAAGGGGAATAGTCTTCTATAGTTACAGAATTTTACTCTATATATGAATAATGTTTATTGAAACTAAGTTCCGGTTCAAATCCTCTTATCAGAATTTTTTTCTTTTTCTCATTATCCTGGTCAGCTTCTTCCTTGGATTCAAGTATTATTTCAATGGATGACCTAACTGAGCTGTCTGGTGATTCTCCTGAACCAAATGACCTTGGCGAAGCAGTTATACGGTCATCAGTCCACACCCAAGGTGGAAAGGATGAAGTGATTAGAACAGGAGGGGTAGAGATTAAAGAGATTCTTAAAATGGATGAAAAGAAAAGAAAAAGGAAAGGCAAAAAGAATCGACAAAAGTCTTATCACAATAAAGAGAAGCTTATCAGAGAAAACCATGAAGAAAGGTCATCATATGAAGAACAACTACAAAAAGAAGATACAAATAAATTGGATAAAGAAAGAATAAGAGAGAGAGTTATAGAACACGAAATGCATCACGAAAGCAATGAAGATGACCACACTGTACATGTGCTAAGAGGTAACAACTTCAGAGTGCCATCTCATTTCCCAATTCCTCTTCCTCCCATAGAAACACCTTTGCCAGCTGGATGTTCCACCTTGGACACTGCAGTAAGCTGTATTAATGCTAAACTTACACAAATACCACCAATTTCAGATCCAGATCTGACAAGCCTGGACCTTACAGGTAAGTAAACATTACATTATTTTTTGTTCATCAATTATTACTACCCCTTCTCAAATCCAGCCAAAATTAGCATTACAGACAGCATAGTTTCTTATCATAAAAATGTGTTAGAACGAATTTTACAGCTAAGACTGAAAGACAACAAATATGACTGTATACAGTTACGATTTATAATACAACTATCCATATATTTTTCATGTACAATACTACACAACTCAGATACATACCGTAAACTATAATTCAAACTATTGTCCTGAATTCTGTCCTAGGAAACAGTATCACTACCATCCCAGATGAAGCATTCAATGGCATACCTAATCTGGAATGGATTGATCTGAGCAAGAATAATCTTAGCTCTTCTGGCATAAGTCCACAAGCATTCAAAGTAAGAAAGTTTTTTTTCTACTATCCTATGATTATTTCTTGTTTGAAGTGAGAGTTTGTCCACAACTGTGAGGCAGATTTTCAGTCACTGGATCTAAAACAGTTTGCATCTGCTATGAGTAACCCCTAGAGGCACATGAATAACATTCACTAAGCATTAACTGCCAAATAATTACATGTGAAAAACAATTTTGTGTTGATACATTATCAGTTGCAGTGCAGCAACATTAGAATAATTTAATATTCCATTAACAACATCCTGGATACTGATGCCCAGGAGTTATTCTCCTTGTCACTACAAATTCTGGAAGCTTACACCTTTGTTATCCAGAAAGGATCTCTAGCCACAGGTGGCTGACATACACCACCCCAAGTTAGGAGAAGAAATACAGATGCTTATGATCAGAACTGCTGTAGGATGGCCAACCTGAAAAGTAGATGTTCTCAGTCAAGCTCTTTAGAAGAAACGTTACATCAAACACACATTAGCATGACTGGCACATTTATTAACAGCTACCATAAGGAAAACAAAAATGGACTGATAAGCAAAAAGCATTTTCTTATTCAAAACACACAACACGACTACACTGCTGCCAAAAATGCAACAACCTCAAAATGAGTATGCTTAATAAATCAGCAACAAGGACTACACTATACTTGTAACTATGTATTTTACACCCTGATAATCTGATTTCTCCCCTTCCCCATTACAATTAAGATCCTGAAAAAGCTAAAACGCTTGTATTTGGATGGAAACATGCTGGTACATATTCCCTCTGAATTACCATCAACTTTGGAAGAAATAAAAATTAATGACAACCGCCTACATGCCATTGATGAAGACACCTTACAAGGTATTTAAGAAATTAATGCTGGTCACATCAAAAGATTAAAATTAATTTGAAATTATCTACTTGATAATAATTGCTTTAAGGACAGTGAAACTACAGGGATTTTGGGAAGGGCAGGAAGATGCAAGTCCAAAGGCAAAAGACCATACTCAGAAATGACTAAAGACCAGTGGAGACCACGATGCACCCACATGATTCCAAACGTCTCCAGTCCTCAACCATTAAGCAATAAGGCCTGAAGGGCAGCACTGTCCACAAGTCTTAGAGCTGCCTTCTTTCCTGTTCTGAACAGTAGGGAAGAGTATAAAGAACAACCATCTGTAAAGCTCTCAAATTCCACTAATTACTAATATGACTATGGCATTATAATTTAAAATCTGTTTAGAAAAACATTTTAATTGCTGTGAAGAGAATTAAGTAAAGTTAAAATGGTTTAAATTTTAAATGTGATGTTTTAATAGGGTAAGAGACAGAATTGATCTTCCAACTTTTTCTCCTCAGATTTAAAGAACTTGGTCACCTTGGAATTAGAAGGAAATAAACTTAGTGAAGCGAACGTCAGTCCTTGGGCCTTCTTTCCTTTGAAAAGTCTCTCTTATTTACGACTGGGGAGAAATAAATTTAGAATTATCCCACAAGGCCTTCCCACTTCTATTCAGGTAAAAAAAGAAAATAAAAAGGCAAATAAAAGAAAAAAAGGAACAAGCTATATTTCAGACATTTCTTTTACTTTTTTTTAAACTAATTATTAATACTAAATTATTACTTCTAGAAATTTACTTACATAGAAACTACATCCTCAAAGATGTCTTCTAAGTCTGAATTTCTCTAGCACACTTACAAAATAGTGTAACCTGCAAGGAAATCTAACAAAGCTTTGCCACTGTGCAGTTGATCATCATTCACCTTGCACACCAGACAGAGACAGGTCTTAGTGCAAGGGCTTGCTCCACTTCGGGTTACTTTACAGGTCGGCAGCATATTCAGAGCTCTAGAAAACAGGACACATGAGGAAAGGCTAAAGGAACTAAGATTTTTCTCGTCTGGGGGGGAGAGAATTAAAAGGAAATATTGTCAACAACTTCAAATATGCAAAAAGTTTAAAGAAAATTGCAAAGAGATATATATTAATTCCTATATTGATTGGCTAAACAACTGACTTCTAGAAATATGTTAAATAAATTAATTAATAATTAAAATTAACCCTGTTTTGCAAACTGGAGGAGGAAGAGGACTTTTTGAAGATGCATGTCACTAATACCTATTCTTACAGCAAACTAAAAATTAATTTACAATAATACTATTAAGGTTGTTTATTTCCCCCCCCCGACCACTGATTTATCTAAGATTTCTGTTTTCAGCCACTTTTATCTATTTCACATCTCACTTCCATTTCTTTGTCCTTGTAGGAGTTATACCTCGAAAATAATCAAATTGAAGAAGTATCAGAGATTTGCTTTAACCATACAAGAAACATAAATGTCATTGTGCTAAAGCATAACAAATTAGAAGAAAATAGAATAGCACCTTTGGCTTGGATAAACCAAGAGTAAGTATAAATCATTAAAGACATGATTATTTCTTCTATATTATTGATAGGGAAGTTAATGAAACAAATTTCATTTGTACCTTATTAAAAATAATTCATAATTTAATAAAACTCTTCAATAAAATAATACATTTTATAACATGGTCAATTTAGTAGTGTGTTTATAGTAATGTACTTTAATATCAAATTTGCATTTTATTATCTTTAGCTTGAACAAAATCTTGGACATCTTTGATATCGTTGTTTCCCTTAACTAGTTTTCCCTCATATCTTTGCTTAGGTTACATAATCCAGAAAATATTTAGATTCATCTTAAAACAATGTTACAGCTCAAATCCATGCCACATTCAAGACTAAGTACCTCTTCTTACCAATCAAAATGAACATTAGTTATTGATAATATTCCACACAATTAACCGAAGTTTTGTATTAATATATTAACTCACAGATCATTTTAAATTAATTGAATATTTTTCCAGCCATATTTCTCATTAAATTAGTAATTGCATAAGTTAATGAGGTGAAAGAAGAGTGTGCAGCCCAAGTAAGAACAGAATACATGCGGTGCAGGCAATGAAAATGGAAGGAGAAATAGGCTACACGTTTTCAATTCTTCCCCTCCCAGCACCAACCCAGGCTGACCGCAGGAACGCGGATCTGTAACAGAGCTGCCCAAGGTGCTTTCAGCACTTGTCTCCTCTGCCGATTGTTCGTTTGAAGCTTTAGAAACAGTGCTGATGACACAGGATAAATTAAATAGTTTGACAGATAGTTTAAACTCGCAACACAATATGTACAAAAAAGGTTTCTTGGGTTGCATAAGCTTATTAGCTGAACACATAATCTTCAACAGTCTGAAATTTAGAAGTGAGTCATGCTGCAGAAACAACAGGAATCTCTGAACCGAGGTTACAAGTAATTCTAACTAAACTAAGAGAACAATCCAAAATCAGTCTTGTATACAAAACCAATTCTCTAAAATTTCAATATTTAAAGCATATGCAACACTCAGGTAACTTGCTAAACTTGCCAGGGTACCTTGCCATAGCCTGGCAGGCTGCAGGACAGTTGCAGTCCTCTCCATTTCCCAATTTGGAAACGATGAGAACTGAAAATCACCGCATGGTTACTAATGGCTTCTCTCATCTCTGGAAGCCAAGTGCAGAGATGTCATTCGCAAGAACAATTCAGTTTAAAATAGGCTTTAGAAAAAAAAAATAACTATTCATGTCAACAGGATAGACAATTAAGTCCCAAGTTTAGTATATGTTTTCCAGTATATCTATTATAATTCGGCAGTGCTTATCAATCATAGATTAGTCCTTTAGGTTTCCACTTTATTCAAGCCAGTCTCTCTACTCATATGAGTAAATTTCTCACCTTCCATGGAAAATATGGTGCTTAGTTGGCAATTAATTACTTCATTTCTTTCTGTTGTCAGGCTAGTTATGTCCGTCGACATTCCCTAAAATGTGCTCTCTTCCATGAACAGAAAAAATATTCCTTTGCAAAATTACTTTAATTGTAAGCACCCTCAGTGTTATTTTGTACAGAACATAACATTAACAACGTAGTATATGATATTGTTTTCATTCCATTTTTTTTCTCCATTAACACAGGAACTTGGAGTCAATAGATCTCTCTTATAATAAGTTATATCACGTTCCCTCCTATCTACCAAAATCTTTACTGCACCTGGTACTCGTAGGAAATCAGATTGAAAGAATTCCAGGATATGTCTTTGGTCATATGAAGCCAGGGCTGGAATATCTCTACCTATCCTTTAACAAACTTACCGATGATGGACTAGATCCCGTATCATTTTTTGGAGCATACCGCTCTCTGAGAGAGTTGTTTTTGGATCATAACGAATTAAAGTCTGTGCCATTTGGAATTGCAGAAATGAAAAAATTACATTTTCTAAGACTGAACAACAACAAAATAAGGTAATTATAAGCTCTTTGTTAAAATGATGGCAGTAAAATTAATGTAATAAAAGATATGCTTTAAGAACTACTTTCAGCAGAGAAACTAATAGCGAGTTTTCTACTATTCTTTTCTGAGAGTTACATAACTGGCGAAAAGGGAAGCATGCTTTCACCTCTCTCGTCCTTCCTGAAAATGCACACAAAGGTCCTGAGCACCAGCTCTCTCCAGAAAATGAATCTGTAATACAGCTTGGGCTACATATCCATTGGTAGCTAAATACGATAGTCCCGGTAAAGCGCTAGATTTTCCTGCTCTTATATTAAAGACCAAATTGGTTGCAAAACACTTAATAGAGTCTTCAGCTGCTCATGGCCACTGCAAAAGCCTTTCTAGAACATTTAGTCAGCCAGGAATCAATTGAGACAATCATACTTTAGCATCATGCTTTTCATCACCGTTACAAAGACAGAGAGGCACACGGTGACCAAATCATGCCAGAACTGTTAAGTTAGGCACCATCCCTGATTTGTACAGTTTACAGAGCAAAGGAGTCAGGAACAATTGATCTTATTAAGTATGCTTTATAGAAGAATTTTCATTCAACACTGGTCAGTATTTTCCTCAGAAAAACTAAATGCGTGAGAAAACAATGCAAGAAGAGGCATTAAAAAAGAGTAACATATAGGTCTTCAAAAACATATTACTTAGAAAAATAAATTTGCTTTTGTCCTAATAAAAAGCATCTGTGAATAAACTGTGAAGTCATGAGTTATCGTGAGCAATTAAAATAACTTTCCTCCTACAATACCACAGGACAGTCCCTCCAGAACGTATCTGCAGGACTCATGCCACTCATGATGATGATGATGACGACAACAGTGAAGAGGAGGAAGATCGAGACTCACGTTTGGAACACCTTCATCTTGAAAACAACTATATCAAGACAAGACAGCTATCACCACATGCCTTTTCATGCATAAGATCTTATTGCAGTGTTGTTCTCAAACCACAGAAGAGCAAATAAGCATCAAATTTTGCATTGCAAGCCCTATCTCTAAAAAAAAAGAATATTATTTATTCCCTGTTACTAACAGCTCTTATTTCCGATTTAAACTGTTCTTACCATTATAAATAAGAGAGCAAATTATTTAACAAAGGCAGGACTGTATTTCCAATACAGTTTCATTCTATTAAGCATTAAACATAAAAATATACGCTCAAGACTATCTCATAAATACAATGCATCAAACTGTGCTGCCAGTTAAATCTTTACAAGATTGGACTTGAGAAAGAATTTAAGTGAACACTTAACTTGGTCCTGCATACTTTGATTTTCTGAATTTAGAACCCTTCAAAATGATACATATAAAAGACTTCAAACTGTGTAGGCTCTGATATGGCAACAATCAAATGTCTTAAGAAATGGATAGTACTGGAGAAACCTTCCTACCAAAAATATTGCAGTGATAGATTCTCTTCCAATGAAAATTTTAAGGAAAAAACGGTTAAAAATGCATCCAGACAGAAGTTAATTCCCCTAGCTCTTCAGATCTTGTGCTGAAACACTAGAATTTTTCAGTCAGCTCTCAAAACTAACCAACCAAACTATATTTGAAATAGTTTTGACAGCAAGCAGTAAACTGACCCCATTCCCTTGTACAATGGGTAGAAGGCTCCCATTTTTACACTGTATAAGGTAGCAACTGAATCACATTGCCTATTTTAATTCCCACTTACAGCTGTTAGTGGCTCATGGGAAAGTTTCTAGATATTCATAAATCACCACTGTAGAGGCTATATTGAGTATCAGTCATACATTTGACTTTGATGGCTCAAACTGATCTCTGATTCCCTAAAATATAGTTCTATACTCTTAAGTAGTACTTTCTCAAAGGAGTAGGATGGTGGTAGGAGATAATTACAGATGACTGGCTAGTAATTTTTCAAGAAATTACTTTCCACGTTTCCCTGAGTTATTCTGTGATGTTTAAAAGAAAGTTTGCTGTTTTCTCCAGTACTATAGGTACTGCCTAATCATTTCTTCTTTTGAATAGATGGGAACAAAGGCTGAAATGGCTCAACAGAGGGATTGATCTTTTAAGTGCTGTAATCAACTGCACACCATAAAAGCCTCTAAGAATGCATATCAACTACTGCACCGTAATTTTTTTGTCCTCACTCTAGAATTGAAGGTTTCATGATACGTTTTCCACACATCTCAATCTACTGCCAATAATGATGTCATATAATCAACAAAAACTCACTGTTCAGACAACATGTAACCAGCAAGGACCAAAAATTTTGCTATAGTAGACAGCATATATGGATGCAACAGCTGAATTCTGTTTTCTCTGAAGCTAAATAATCAAAATTCCATTGCTCTATTGCAAAGTTCTCTCTTATTCAAATGGACTATTTTTTGCAAGGTACAAAAGTACTGCAGTCAGTCAAAACATAATGTACTTTTTGTAAGAAACAATCCTAAGATACATGGTCTTCTGTAAAAAGATTTATTTGGATATTTTGATTAAAATATGGTCATAAGCCATATAGTAATGATTTTGTAAGCTTGGTAAAGAATTTACAAATTCAGCAGGCTGAGCAAAACTCAGCAGGCTGAGTTTATACATATAAAATTCTGTTTTGGATGGCTTGATTTCACTGTCTGTGCATTACCAACATTTGAATCCTTAGTCTTTGATCTTGGCTACTTTTGAATACTTTTTTGACAGAATAAGAAAAGCTGTTATTTAAAAGATGCATTTAGATTATTGCTAAATAACATCCGACTTACTTCTGCAGCACTGCTGAGCAGTGCTTTCAAAAACGCAGCTGTACTAAGTATTTTGAATACACAGACAGTTCCAAGGAAGGATTTCCAGGTAAACAAGCTTCTGTATTACTCCATTTTATGTATTCTTAAAATAAATTTAAGCAAAAGACTGACTGTGTGGAACTCTCATTAATCAGCTGCTACTATTACTAATTCCAAAGATGAAAGTATGATGAAAACTATAAATTACAAGAACATGAAAAATGCTATACTGCTATCAGTTCGTTAAACAGAATAATATGCTTTCTTTTAAACAATTTTAGAAGAAAAAAGAAATTACAGTGCCATTGTCAACTCCTATTTTAGAGAGAACCCTCTGAAAACGAATAAGGAGATACCCCTATGTCCAATTCTTTTCATTCAGATTTTTTTTTCCACATTTGATATTACAAGAGCTATGACAAAATTGCCACTGGACATGGATGTGGGAAGTAAAGATATCCCCTCATGCCAAAACTGTAAGTCACTCAGTTTTGCCTGAAAAAAGAACATTTGAGGGGTCATTATGGGCTGTAAATTAATCTAAAACAACAAGGTAAATTTCACTCATTATCTTTTTTTTAAACTCTACAATGATTTGGTTGCTCTCTTATGGAAAGACATCAATATACTTTTAACACATCTTTTAACAATGAACTTCGAACATGTCCAAGTGACAACTTTTTGAAACTGCTATATCATGGCAACAAAACAAACAGTTGGTCCCTTCTGCTGTACAGTCATACAAATGTTAACTTGTTGAAACTCTCATGGGAAAACATGAAGTACTGTGTTCATGTCCTCATGTATAAAACTTCCAGAGAAAACAAGATTATAACTAGTAAAGTATTAGTAATATGAGAAAATATTACCAGACCATTTTACACTATAAACATGATGACTTTCTTCAGAAAGCCGGCAGAATGTAAACTTGTAAGAGCTTCACAAGAGCTAGTGTTCTGGAAATTGGAAACTTCCCAAGCTAACTCATGAAAATCACTACTTATTTGGAGATCTAGATACCTAACAATGCTGGTAGCTGCCTATATATCTCATATCCTCTTCAGATACATGGACTGAAACAACCAACCGCAGGTCAATTCTATTTAAAATGTAGAATGCAACAATAAACTTCCAGTATTAACACTTTATATATATATATACATATATATATATATATATGTATATATATATATAAACACATATTCGTATAGCCACTCATTGCCCAAATTATTTATCCAGTTTCGGAAAATACAAATTCATTTCAAAACACTACTCCAAGGGATTCAGAACCATACTGTGACCTTCTGGTAGAATGTCTTACCCTCAGAGATAAAGACTACTTTGGAGAGAGTGCAGAGCTTTAAAGAGGTCTACTTTTCGAGCGGTTGTGTAGGAAGCATTTAAAGTTCCAGTCAGAACACAGCAATCAAACATGCTCCCTAGCCTTATCGGGAGTAAAAGCTGCACAGCAGTAGTTCTTGAAAAGCGACAAGTATCTATCCAAAATGGCTAATTAATCATAAGGTGGACTCATTTGAAAGACATACATTACTGTTTTCTGAGGAACAAAAGAAATCACTGCTGTTATTTCTTATTTAGTAACATTACCCTTCTATTACAGCTAGTTACCATTAAATGCAAAAAAAATCTATTTCAAGGGGAAAGGCTTTGATTTTATTTCTCTTGGCAGACTGTAAACCATTTTAAATGGGGAAAAAACAGCAGATGTGGAATAAGAGATCTGGTTTAATGATGTCAACAACTTCTGTACAGTTGCAAAGCCCAAATATTGTGGAAAAATGTTGGAACACATTTTCCGTCTAAAAGTAGGGAAGACGTCAATTACAAAACTCTAAAATGTATTAAACAGATCTTCTTTTCCACATAAAGAAATCTGGAATAATCGTTTGATCAAAATGCATGTAGCTTTTTAGTTTTCTAATAAACTAACATTTTTTCAAAAAGTTTTATATTAACGTAGGCATCGAACAGCGTATTCAAACGCTACGAAGAGTTATTTTAACAATACTATTACAAGCACTACGCTGAGAATCAATGAAATAGATGCATCTGATGTTGCTAACATCCAAGGGCTATTACGCATTTAAAGATCCTTGCTTGAAGACACTTTGTTCCACAGCAAAACACCATAAGGATAAATCCATAAAGACCTAGCACTGTTTTCTCCTTTCTCTTTTCCAGCTCAATAAACGGAGAATATCAAACAGAACATTTCAAAAACATTTCCCATATGTAGGATACAAGCTGACCAAGTTGTAACAGTTGTTACATCACTTTATTACCTTTGGGAAACACTCAGATACTGTTATGCACACCTAGAAGAATTTACATAGGTGAGTACATTACAGAAAACATATCTGGTTAAGCCAACAATTCATGACAAATTATTATCTATTTCTGATGCTGAAATACAGCAGATAGTAAAGCAAAACTAGACCAACAGACCAGTTAGCATTATGGTATTAGCTTTTTCAAGCAATAAATGTATTTTTAACTTAAAACTTAAAATAAAAGTGTATTGCTTTGATTAGGAACAGCAGAAGAAAATCGAACTGTCTCAGAGTAAATCTCAGAAAGAAATGAAATACAGTCGTCTTAAAATCACAGTTTAATTTGTTTTAAGGCAACTAAAAACAAAGCAACATCATGAACTGCAATACCCTTTTCTGGGGAGTTATTTTTGGTCCTTGTGAGAGGGACTGGAATAGATGAACTCTGATCTGATCCAGTGCAGCTGCTCTTACACTCTTATGTACTTTACAGATAGCCCGGCCTGCGTGCTGCTGCGCCCAGTTGTGCACATCACCATCACCAGCCTGTGAACACAGCTTACAGTTTCCCAATCTGCAGCCTGGTCAGTGCTGAGAAGTTTCTTCGCACAGGGGCCTCTTCTCAGCAGTCAAGTGTACCCTCAACATTCCCACCAATGAACCAGGCACCATGGGCCTGAGTTTGCCAGGATCCTGCAAGCTGTAACTGATGGGAGGGGAATCTCGCTTGACCAGGGAGGTGGGCTGGATCGCTGCTGGCTGCTTTACCTCTTGTCATTACGAATACAGACTTGTATGGTCCTCTGGGAAACACAGGCCCCCAGGGCACACATGAATCATTCTACTCCAGTCACTGCCTGAACCTAGAAGTTTGACCCCTGTTTCCACAGATCTCTCTTTCATCAATACCCAGAGATGGGAATCCAAAAGACAAAATCCCTAAGCCCAG